TAAGACAAACAAGGAACAGATTTATTGAGAAATATGGTGCTATTTTAAAACATTTTTTTTCTGACTAATTTGCAGGCAGTTAGTGATGTCATATACTTTGAATGCTAGAAAATCACAGTGCTCCAAACCACCAAGCCCTTGCTTTGTATGCTGTTCTTAAAAAGAATAAAAAAAGATAAGAGCAGCTTAGGAAATTTATATTTTTCACATGCAAAATATGCACCTGAACTCTCTTAGGTTGTTCAACAATGGTCAATGCTCTTATGAAGTATTTGTAAAGCATTTTGCTTTAAGGTACATACAAAAATGTCTGTTTCAATGCGTCACCTCTTTTTTTTTTTTTTTTCCCAAGCAGTGTCTTTGTAAGGAAACACTTAGGCTTGCAAGGAAAAATGCAACTGTAAGACAGAGTAACCAAACTACAGAGTTCACTCCCCAGTCATGTGTTCCCAATAAACAGCTTCCCCTGTCTGCTGTACAGACAGCTTCAAGTCCTGCCCCTTCTGTTCCTAAGCTTGAAAGGTTCAATCTGCAGTGATTTGTTGCGCAGGATCTTGGAAAAATATTTCTTTTCTTCTGTCTCTGCAGTCAAAAACTTGACATTTCAGGAGCTCTTCACGCAACAACTGGCTGCAGCTCTCTGAAACCAAAGCAGGCCAAGGTTGGGGTTGAGTCAGCAGCTCTGTTGTGGCTACTGAAGCCCTCAGATTGCAGCAGCTGATACACCCCAGCTCTGCTCTGCTGCGTGGGGAGCAGTGCTAGGAGGGCTCCTTTGCTCAGCATCACAGACATCCCACATGCCTCCCACCTGCTTGGTGCAGGCAAAAAAACAGAAGATTTTCCTGTTATTGTGTACAGGCTCAGTGATAAGAGAAGCTCATCGCAGGAAAAGCTGGTCCCAATACTCTACTTTTAAAATATATTTAGACATTGAGTCATTTGAAACAATCTCATCTAATGCAGTATTTTGGGGGCCTCTGATGGTCTGATGTCACACCAATTTCAAGAGTGTTAGCTTGGAAAAAATACTGGGGCAAGGTGAGACATCTGCAACACTATGAAGACTCCTTCTCAGCATACAATGGTAACTGGTGGAGAGCCATTAACAGTGCTCCCCTGAAGTAATGAATGTTTAAAATCAATAGGGAACAGCTGTATTTCAACAATTCCTCTACATACCAACTCTACAGCTGCTCTGTTTGGTTTTTAAAAATACTTATGAGTCCTAGCCAAAACATAATCTGCTGTGAGGTTTAGTGCAGGCTCCTAGTCAGTTCTCACTGAAGAGAAGTTCATATATCGCTAACATTTACCCTTCTGAATAGACAATGTCACAGAAATAATCCGTAACCATCACTAAAATGCTGGTGATATAGATGTGTATTTACAGTGACAGTGATTTTCTTCCCTAAAGTGTGCTTCTACCTGCCATTTCCAACATATTTTTTTCCCCTGGATGGAATCACAGTTAAATCCACAAATGACATGATTACAATTCCTGACCCAAGACTCAGGACAGCATTAAATTACAATGAAGTTGTGGCAGATTTATGCTAGTGAAAGAAAGAGGGGGAGAAATCGCATTATATTATATATATTCACAGGAATGATTAATTTATGTGGAACTGACTCTTTACCTGGAGACTTGCAAAGCTGGTAGTTTTCTGGCTCGGTTTTGCTCGTGCCAGGCAGTCCTCCTGTTGTCTCATGCCCTTGCTTTCTGAGGAGCTGAGAGACGACAGCAGTGCATCTGTAAGCAAAAGAAAAAAAAAAAAAAAAGGAACTTGATGAATGAAATCAATTTAGGACACATTTGCCTAAGAAAATTTGATATAAAACCCCACACAGCTACTTGAGCTGTGGTTCAGTTCAACAAGCACTTACAAAAAGCATTAGGATGTGGAGTCAAGCAGGAGTTTTCTGAAGAAATGGGATGGGCTTTTGATTTTGCCTGTGAACCAGACTTGAGGGACACACACACACACGTTTTGACACAGCACTAGTCACACAAGTGGCTGTACAAGCACTATTAGGTCAGACTAAAGTTAATGGAAATTAACTGCAGAGATGTCAGTTTTGAAGATAATTATTCAGCTAGCAGGAGCTTTGCTGGCTCTCTGCTAGACTGCTGCATACCTTTTAGGACTGGGCCTGGGTATGAAATGGACTTAACATTTTAAAAATATATATATAAATAGACTTACATAACAGCCTCTATTTTTCAAAAGAAGAGAAAAATAAAAAGTAACTAAGATAAAACAGAAAACTGAACTATACTGCGCATATCTTAACACGGCAGAAAGATGAGGTGACACTAATAACATCTGTACAAACAACTTTTTTACTATCACACGATATGATCCTTAGGCTTGTCACATCCCTTTCAGCTTTAACAAATAAAACAATCTTGCCTTCTCTTTTTAATTTGTTGGGCAAAGAGTTTGAGCCTGAAAAGTAGTGCTGTACTAGGGATGGAACAGTACAAAAGAGGGATTAAATACAGTTCTGAAAAATAGCTTGTGTCCTCCATTTTCACTCCCCCTCAGTGAATTGCTATTATTCGACTTCTCGTCCCTTCTCTGCTGCAGTGTCAAAATACAGTGTCAAAAAAGAAAAACAAAAAAAATCAGAGAATAACATCCTTTAAAATATAGGCCAACTTAATAGCTTGTCTAATACCTGTCGTTTTTACAGGATATTTTTAAGTTCACACATTCAAGAACATAAGTGGGAAAAATGGTTCCTAAATACGCTGCTGTTAAGCAGATGTTTAAGTTATCTCTAACGAAACAAAAACAAATAGTCATCATAAGAGAAAACCTGCTCATTGCATTCTCCTTCCAGCCACAAGATGGCACACGAGCTTTTAGCATGCCATGAAATTTCAGGACTTCTAAGTAGCTTGGCAAAAAATATATACAAATTCCTTACCACCTTATCCTAGCAGCAGTGGTTTTTTAGATAGAAAAAGGCAGACAAACCACGTGCTGGGAATGCCTGGTCTATGAGACAGGGACAATGAAAACAATCAAACAGATGCGAGA